TCTGGGTCATTTTTACGAAAACGAAACTTGGAAAATACATGTACGCGATCGGCGGCAACATCCAGGCGGCTAAAGTATCGGGCATCAACGTCGCCAAGTACCTGATTTATATCTATGCCATCGCAGGCGCCCTCTACGGGCTGGCGGGAGTGCTCGAAGCCTCCAGAACCGGCGGCGCAACGAACAACTACGGTAATATGTACGAGCTGGACGCCATTGCGGCCTGCGTTGTCGGCGGGGTGTCGACCACCGGTGGCATTGGCACGGTGCCCGGCGTCATGGTGGGCGTGCTGATCTTCACGATCATCAACTATGGCTTGACCTTTATCGGCATCAGCCCTTACTGGCAGCTCATCATTAAGGGATTGATTATCGTAGCGGCCGTCGCTTTCGACATGCGCAAGTATGCTGCCAAAAAGTAATAGGCCATAAAGGAATCGATCTTCTCGTCACGCAATCAAGCTGCGGCATTTCATGCTGCGGCTTATTTGTGCTGAGAGCTGGAGTAATTCGGCTGAAAGAAGGACGGATGATTAATGTAAGACGGATTACCAATATTTGAGGCGTAGCCAGAAGAAACAAACATGTTACAATGTGAGGGTAGATTGTTTACAACTTTGTAACCTGTGTAAACGAAATCAACTTACGATATTTCACTGCGAAAAGGAGATGTTTGCAAGATGAAAAACAGAATGATGAAGACCATCGCCGGGGGAGCTTTCGCTGCCGTACTGGCTGCAGGACTGATCGGGTCCGGATCTGCATCAGCCGCTTCTGCCACCTCCGCTCCTCAAAAACAAGATCTCGGCAGCCTGCAGGCTTACCTGGAGCAGCTGCTGCAAAATAACGGCGGTTCTTTAAATTGGAACTTCGTGTACGAGCTGCCTTCCAATGGGCAAGCCAACGTACCAACGACGACCAAACCTTCCACGCCGCAAACAAGCAAGCCTTCGGCTCCACAGACGAGCAAGCCGTCGACGCCAACGACTACGACGCCTTCGACTCCGTCCAACAACAGCGGAAGCAACACGGCGGACAAGTCCGGCTATGCTGCTCAAGTGATCAAGCTGGTTAACCAGGAACGTGCGAAAGCCGGCCTTGGTGCGCTGAAGGAAAATACGAAGCTGTCCGGCATGGCGATGGACAAAGCGAAAGACATGTACAGCAACAATTACTTTGACCACAATTCTCCAACGTACGGATCTCCGTTTGACATGATGAAGAAGTACGGCATTTCTTACAGCTATGCCGGCGAGAACATCGCCAAAGGCCAAAAGGATCCGGCTGACGTCATGAATGCGTGGATGAACAGTGAGGGCCACCGCGCGAACATTTTGAACAGCCATTACACCACGATCGGCGTTGCCTACTATAACGGGGTCTGGGTTCAAGAGTTTATTGCGAACTAATCATTCATATATCATCTAACAAAAAGGGGTGCTCTATGGCCGTTCGGCAGGGGTCCCCTTTTATTTTAGAAAAAGTTCGGTCAATCCCTCAGGAATATGTTTGGCCGGTGAGTCCGATGATTGCAAACGAATTGAAAAAAGCAGAACCCGCATGCTTCAGCATACGAATTCTGCTTTGATGGGTTATGCAGGGGTCGAACCTGCGACCTGCCGATTAAGAGTCGGCTGCTCTACCAGCTAAGCTAATAACCCGCGTCGTCTAACAGGGAATATTATAACTCTGTTTCTCCCGAATATCCACTATGTTCACAAAATCGACAAAAAGGGCTGGCGCTAAAACCGGGAATATGGCATGATTTGCAAATTGCCGGGAGAAGTTTTATGTTTATGTACATAACGTTTACGGAAACGACCGTTCAGATTAATCTGTGGAGGGATTATGTCTTGAGTTCATCGAAGTGGATTTGGCGGATTATCGGCATTCTGTCCATCGCGGCAACGCTCCTCCTCATCGCCGGCTTCGCATACGCGGTACAGGATATCAACCATCCCCAAGGCAGCAAGCTAAACCTGTCGGCTCCTTCCGCCAAACCTGAAGGAACAGCACCGGGCAATATTGAACAGAAAAAAGAGCTGAAGGCTGCAGTCATCGGAGATTCCCTGGCCAAAGGAACCGGTGACAGCACCGGGAGCGGCTTCGCGCGGCGAAGTGTGACCAAGCTTGCGGAGGCTACGGGCAAGAAGGTGACCCTGCTGAACAATCTTGGCATTAACGGGCTGACCACATCCGGGCTGCTTCCGAAGCTGAAGGAACAAGGTACCCGGTACGTGCTTGGCGAGGCGGACATCATCCTGTTGTCCATCGGGGGCAATGATTTGTTCCAGGGGGCGGATCTGCTGTCAGGCAGCCAGACCGGGACCGCGGCCAACGACGGAGAGGCTGCGGATCTGGATCCTGATGAGCTGCTGGAAGCGCTGCCCCAGGCGAAGAAACAGCTGCAGCAAATTTTGGAGCAAGTCCGGAAGATCAATCCGGGTGCGCTCATCATTTACGTCGGGCTCTATAATCCGTTTGGAGACGTGAAGGATCTTAAAGTGGCCGGTAATCAGGCCGTTTCGGAGTGGAACAGTGCTGCGCTCACGGTCATCAATAAATATGACGCTTGTTCCGACGTTCGACCTGTTTCAGCACCAATTGAACAAGTATTTGTCGACGGACCATTTCCATCCGAACGATCAAGGATATGAGCGGATTGCCGAGCGAATTGTACAGGGAATGTTGTGAGAAAGAAGCGGGAAAGGGGCGTCAGGCGCGCATATGTCTGAAGGAAGCATCTTGAAATCTCAGGATGACGTCGTTCTGTCGGTGGAGCATGTGAAGAAGAAGATCGGACGGAAGTGGATCATTCACGATGTCACCTTCGACGTTCGGGAGGGCGAAGTGTTCGGCTTTCTGGGCCCGAACGGAGCAGGCAAAACGACGACCATCCGCATGCTGGTGGATTTGATCAAGCCGACCAGCGGTACCATCCGGGTGTGCGGATACGACGTGAACAAAAATCAGGAGCAGGCGCTCCGGTTTGTAGGCTCGATCGTCGAAAACCCGGAGGCGTATACTTATTTGACAGGATGGGAGAACCTCGAGCATTTTGCCCGGATGCAGCGCGGCATAGACCGTCAGCGTATCCAGGAAGTGGTTGACATCGTCAGGCTCGACCAGCGCATTCATGACAAGGTCAGCACGTATTCGCTCGGGATGAGGCAGCGCCTTGGAATCGCCCAAGCCCTTCTGGGACGGCCCAAGCTGCTGATCCTGGATGAGCCGACCAACGGGCTCGATCCGAAAGGAATCAAGGAGCTGAGACAGTTTATCCGTCAGCTGGCCGATGAGGGGCTCGCTGTATTTGTGTCCAGCCACCTGCTGAGCGAAATCCAGCTGCTGTGCGACCGGGTGGCCATCATCAGCAAAGGGCGCGTACTGGCCGTGGGTCCTGTTGAAGAGCTGGTATCGG